TTCTCATTATGTTGGGAACAAATGTTAAGCACACGCACATATGACTAACCCTTTGTCGTGGACCTGTCGGGAGAGATTCTGCTTATTATTACCAGGTCTCAGTGTCTGCAAACAGGTAGGACTTAAAGGTTGAGTTGCATGTAAGCGGTGAATGCAGCGTAACTCGACGTATCTGTTAGTCTGCAATAAAAACCACTTTAGGCAGCGGCCGTGCTTTATGTGTAGCGTTGAGGGTTGAATATACGATTGCACTCTCCACAAGGGCCCTATTACCACAAAACGTTAATGCTCCATGTCGTTGTGCTTCCATTCAGTCACTTCAGTACAATAATTAATCAAAATAAACATACAGCGCTTGACAATAAGGCTTTTATATTCAGCACTAATCAGACAACTCATTAGGCAGTAATGAGCCGACTCTGCCTGCTCTTGTCGTGTTTGGGGGAACTTTGGTGTATGGGGAGAAGTGTTTGTGTGTGTGTGTTTGTGCGTGTTAGCACACAGATACACATAGGCACACATGTTCCCACATCTATACACACACACACACACACACACACACACCAGCCAGCACTCCTGTAGTCCCACTCCAATTATGGCAGCATCTCACCCGGGAAGAAGCCCACTTACCCAGCATTCACTTTATGAATAATTGATTGTTTGTGCCAGTGTCATATTTGTAAATACACGTTTGCGCTCTGATTAATAGTTTTCTAGACATACTCATTTGTTCAATTTGATTAGACTCTTAAATGTATTATTTATTAGCTGAAAATGCTCTGTGGTTATTAGTCATCACAAGGGCAACAAGAAGATTTGGCATAAGGACGCATCTGCATGCAAACAGACGTGCGCACATCAGTCGGCGCTCACGCATGTGGCGGGCGGCAGGATGTGTGTGTGTGAGTTGGCACATTGTTTGTTGAGTGTTGTGAACACTTTGTCTTTCAGCATGTGTTGGTACATGTCTTGGACAGCTTTTTGAAAAATCTTTGTATGCATACATTTTTATTTACTGTAATATATGTGTGTGTGTGTGTGTGTGTGGGAGAATGTGTGAATTAAAGGCATTTTTATGTCGAAGCACTAGACATATTAACCAGAACAGCTAAACATTCTCTGGACAAGTGGCGAGAGGAAGGTTATCAAACTGCCAGTGCAGCCTCAATGAAAACCTCAAAAATGTTTTCTTCGTCGTCTTTGATGAAGGAAATGAGTAACTGTGACCTTTAGGGTTGAGTTTGTAATAGGTGGGAGTCTGCATCATCACTTGCTTTGACCGTTTCTTTTCACAGCAGCTGTCAGCTTCATAAAGAACCAGGGAGAATGTCTTGGATGAATTTAAAAGGAGAAAAAAAAAAAGAAAACGAGTGCGGTCTAGACAAGAATGCAAGAATGTTGGTCAGAATTTTTAATCTGTTTCACTTGAGGGCAAACACGACGGTAACAGTGCCAAGTTGTCACTGAAACGAGCCACATACCTACATTCTCTAAAAAGAAAAGCACTCAGAATATAAGTATGTTAATGACTTTTATTTATTTGTCCTTCTCAGTATCTTGTTTTAGTTTGCGGGTAAATTAAAACTGCGTCGTCTTGTCTAAATTATCTGACAGTCAAAGCTGGTAAACGTTCTGTGCGTCAGTTCAGCTGGCAACATCACAACACTTGGTTTCCTGCCTTCAGGGAGTGGACCAGCTAACTATCGGAGATGGCAAAACACACACCTCAGATTGCGAAAACTGACGAGTATTTGCAGTTGACATTGCCGATTGCTTTGCTCTCTATGGTGAGGCCTGTGTTTTAATTGTTGCTGCCGGCGTCGGGTGTAATTGTGTGTGACAAAAAGAGTCTTTTTTTAAAGACAAAGATCTAAAAATAAAGCGCCAGGAGGCAGAAGATAACAGTTGACTACATTAATCTTGATGTTCAGTCTGACAATTTCAACCTGTGACAACATCAACCTAATTGATGCGAGTCAGCAGTCAGCTGGCATAGCGAGTGTTAATTAGCTGACACCTCTGCCTCCTCCTGATATATTTGTGATGCGCTGCGATTATGCCGAAGCTCGTGCTGCTGCTGCTGGCGTAAGTTAGTGTGCGGGGGCAGGGTGGCGCGCTCATGAGCAGCTAAACAGGTATGTACACAAACTAAGCAGGGCATCGACTGACATCTTACAAATAATGCATGCATGTAGGATGCGTTTCTCTGCCGCTTTTCACAGCAGACATTCAGGTAGCAGAAAAATCATATGAATAGTAAACGACTATAAAGCACCTTGTTATGTCAGGATCAAGAAAGCAGCTTCATCAAATTAGGACATTTTAAAAAACTATATACATGGATTCGTGCTTTTTCCTCTGTGAGATGTTGAAATCTGTTTTTCCTACATGAGTCCTACATGAACGACCCTGAATTCTCCAAAGTGTTGGTGGTTACAGCCCTTCTCGGGACAGTTTGGTTGCTTAAATGACACATCTCGTACTGTTCTGTTAACTCGTTTCTATCATTTAGATGCGCAGTTTGGTGGCTTCGGTAACCCACCATCCAGGTTCAGCCTGAAAAGAGAGCTAATGAGAACACTTATGTAGGTGTTCAAGGCCACTAATGGAAAATATACTGAAGTCACCGGGAAGAAATCAGGCTTTTCTGAGGTATTTTGAGCAGCTGACTGTGGATGGTTTGGCTGTTACAGTTTGTACAGTGCTATTGTGCTGTTGCTGGAAACCTTTAAACCTGTTGCAAAGAGGTTGTGGGCAAATGCCCAGCAGCCCGACGAGGGAGGGGGGGTACGGGGGTTTGTTCAAAACTGACAGACATGGTGCATCATTGGTATATTTGTGACTGTGCACGTGTGTGTGTGTGTGTGTGTGTGTGTGTGTGTGTGTGTGTGTGTGTGTGTGTGCGCGTGCGCGCGTGCTACTGTGCTCCTCAGGAGCGCGAGCATGCCAGCTGAAGAGGGGAAGGAAAAGCAGCACTGCTCTGCACCATATGCCAAATATGAGCCTGCCTGCCAATTTGTGGGGGATACTGGCAAGTGCTAGCAAGGCTGAATTCTTGACAGAGGGAGATGAATAATTGAACATGTGCGAAGCAAAGTTGTGTTGGGATGGAGTGGGGGTGCCGTTCTACATGGAGAAGGGGAATGGAGACAGTCAGACTGTCTACAAGGAAAACTCATTTAGATAGTGATTTGTTTGTTTTTTGTAAACAACTCAAAAAGTTGCAGAGATTTTAAGATAAACTTGAATGGATTTGTGGTAAGACGTGAGTGGAAAAAAGAACACAACCCATTGGCATCTATGCATTTTGATCATAGCAGCTACATGCAAAGAGGCCAAAAGCTATCATTGATCTCACAAGTGTGCATCGCAACCGCACCGAAAACTGAGAAAATAAGTGTGCGTGCCAAAAATAAAGAATGTTTGAAGAGAAATCTGTGTAGCTTAATCCGTTCGGTAAAGACGTTTATTCAATCGGGGAATGCATTTTAGATTAAAATTTTAATAATTTAGCAGAAGCTCCATTTTAAACCAGCTTCCACTAAATGCAACTGTGGAACAAACTTACAGATAACTGAGCAGCGGTACAATCTGGGATAATCATTAATATTTTGATGAATTTGAAAAAGAATATATTTTATTCCATGTGCTTGTGTTACAATGCATTCAATAGCCACTATTCAAGTTTATTTAAAAATCTGAAGCAAGAAAAACAGCGTACAATGTGTCACATTTAACAAAAGCAGTCATTAAGCAAAGCTCCTTCCAACAGCTGGTTTAGCTTAAGTGTGAAACACTCATCATGGCAGGTTTCCAGAGGTGATTACATGAAGGCTATGAAGCTTTTTTCCCAAATCCCATATGCTGCATGTTCCCGTTTCACTTGGTGTCATCTTTCCAGGAAGTGTGTCATCCTGCAGCGCATCACGCATGTCATTAGTGTCATAGGATTTGCAAGTAAAGTAAAATATTACCGATCATCAGAGGAATTCAGATATCTGCATCAGGTTTCATGGTAATCTGTTCAGTAGTTGTTAAGATATTTAAATTAAAGCCACAAACTAAAGTCAGAGATCAGTGTGGCCAAAAAACAAGACAGTTGGATCCTGTTTTTGTTTAAGTGACTGAAATACAACATTATCATTTTGTTCTAAAAATAAAAGTACTCCTTAGAGAGCACACCTTCCTCAATGCTTTTATTAAGAAATTTTAATAACAGGATTCGTGGTGGAGTAGAATGTCATAAAACCTCGAGTTCACAAACCAAAAAAAGAGTTTTTCTATGTTTAAGTCAGCTTTAAGGCTTTCTAGATTTAAAAAAAAAAAAAATGTAAGCAATAAATGCAAAGTCGTGCCACGGAGATTGCTTCTGATCAAATCTCACTAAGCAACCCCGCTAGAGGACATGAGAAGGGCAGGCAACCGAGGGAAAGACGTCAAGAGCCTCCACGGCTGCCTCTTCTCTTTCTGTCACCCAGCTGTGGTGCCAAGGTCTGAATAAATACCGCCCACGACGATGTACATAAGTGTGTGCAATGTGCATATGCAATATCCCGCAATTCTCCTGTGTTTCATTGAATGAGCACAAGAGCAATATAGACATCACATCGAGCGTTTGAAGATAATGATGAATCCCGCTGCTTGAGGCAATGACAAGAAGTATAAGAGAGAAAACAAACTGTATTCTGGTTAAATGGTGCTGCCTGGATAATAGACAGAGACAAATGTGAGAGACTAGGCAGTTGTGACAGCGAATTTTCTCCAATAGCAGCCTTACGTTCTGTATATGTCACTGTCCGGCTATTGCATGTGACTTTCCATTAATCCTTAGAAATTGATCTGTTTTGTTCTCTTGTTTACCGGTGACTTTACTATTGCAGTGCCACTTTTACTGAAACCTATTATGTTCTAATCATCGTCTTCTCTCTTTTCTCCCTTTGCCCTTTCCACCCCCCCTCTCCACCTCTCTCTCTCCTCTTCTTCTTCTCTCGGTGACAGATACCACCCTGTCCAGCGAACGTGGTAAGTACCGCAGCCGCACACCCGCCTTGATTTAGAGCCATCTGTGCGTGGACTCCGCCAGCGTCAGCGCACTGGCTGTTTGTCTTGATGTGGAAGGAACCATTCTCAGATGTTCGTCTCAGTGGGGGAGAGCGGAGCCGCAAACATCATTTGCATCACCGGGAAGCTATTTTCCTCCCCATCACATTGCATGTCACAGCAAATGTTGAAATGAGGAGAGAAACATCAAGCCAAGTCAATTATGAAAGCAGCATCCACACACCCATGTGGCCAATCAGAAACTGAATTTAGCATATTTTCTCCGCACGCGTTTTGCCTCGACCTACTTCATCAATTTACCCCCTTTTGACTCCAATGGTATTCAATAAGGAGCCGATAAGGAGCGTCTTTTTTTTTTTTTTTTGCTCTGTCTCTTTCCAGCTTTAGTGAAACGCATCCCCATGTAGCCTAATAGAGAGTGCATGGATTCCCCCACTGTAGCAGCCTCTCATTTTATTTTGAAATTGACTTCTGTCTGTTGTGCTGTTATTAATGGCTTTCTGTGTTTAGAGGAAGGCTTTAATCGCTTCATCAAACAGGTTGAAAGAGAGAGTCCATCTGCAGCACTGGCTTTGTTTACATCTTTATTTTGCATATGTGTGTGTGTGTGTGTGTTTTGGCCAGACATCTGTTTTTAAATGTCAGCCACACTTCGTCTAGAACATTTCTTCTACTTGCTTATAGATATTTGCACTGTTACACCGTCGGAGCATCGTTATAGCACAGACGACACAAAAAGTGATCCGGGCGAAGCTGCTCTCCGCCCCACGTGGAGGACGATGCTTTGGGGCGAAACTGTGGATCCAAATTGGTGTGGTGGCGTCACACGGTGTAGACAAAACACCCCGTGCTGTGTGTCTGGTGTTTGAAACCTCAAAGTGGCAGAGGGAAAGAGGAGCGTAAAGTTGTGGTTCAGATCAAGCTCTTGAGGTTTATTTGTGTGTGCCTGGTTAACCTCCGTTTGCTGGTGGAGGAGACGATGATACGAAGCGCTGAAAAGTCTGTGTGATCAATTTTTCATTGCCAAGCTAGCAACAGTGTGGTGCCTTTTTTTTTTTTTTTTTTTTCTTTTCCCACTCCGGCTAGGCTTGAAAAAGCAGGGAATAAGAAGTCACAATAGGCAAAGATTTGTTTTCATTCAGAGCGTTATCCTTGATTTTGACCTCGTCTCTGCCTCTCCTAACCGCCCTGCCGCTTTCGCATTAAAACACATGCATGAGTTCTCTCCTCCCTCCCCTCGCGCACGCTTTCCGTTTTTGTGCTGCTCAGTAGTCGCATAATGTGAATGATATTCCACAATGAGAGGCAGAAAAAGAGGAGGGATGAATGGATTAAAAAAAGCAGATGAGAGGGTGACACGAGGTAGTGTCAGGGCAAGGTCTGTTTGCCCTTGGTGCCTTTAAGAAGGCAGTCAGCAGGAAACAATCTGGTAGAATGCTTGTAATTCACCAGAGCGTACCTTATTGATGCTTCATGCCATTCACTTTTGGTGTCTTTGGGAGAACATCAACATGCAAGATACTGTATACCTGCAGTGCAATACCATACATACTTGAGCTGCTTTCTTGTGTCTTCCTGGGTTTAACAAGCTCTGCCTGCTCCCTCGGCAGTGATGGGGTGCGTTTGGAGTCGTCTGATAGGCCTCCTCGACGTGAAGTGGCTGCTGGCGCATCCTCTCCCAGCTTAATTGGCTGTACCTGCGGCAGGAGGGCAAGGTGTAATTGCGATAAGAGAAAACGCTGTGCTTGGCTGGTTTTAGTGCCCTTATCTATAATCTCCAGATTGATTATGGTTTTTCTGCCAGCCGTGCAAATTGTTCAACCCCATCAACTGCACTGGAAACCACCTTAACTCTGTCTTGGCCAAATCACAGTGCGCTTACATTTGGCTAGAATATATTCTGACCACTGATTTTAATCTCATCTCTGCTGGTTGTCTGTTTTTTTTTTCCCCTCCTGCTCAAGGCATTAGGCATTTATTTTAGAGAGTGAGGCGTACGGCGTAACATCTCATATACCAAATAAATCTATTTTCTGTCAAATTAACAAGGCTGTATCTCCTCACAACAGGCCTGAGTGATTAAATGATATGCGCTGGCGATAGGCACTTTGTCAATAGCAATAACAAAATTGTTCGATAGAATGTTTTACTTAATTGAATTACATGCAGACTGCCATGATGCAGCGCTCCCTCCCAGGCTCATAACAGCCTCCTTTAATGGAGCACGCTGTGAGTGACATGCAAGCAGCCATGTGGTTAAAGCTGCAGTAGGCAGAAACTTGGAAAAGGCAAGAAAAAGAAAAGCCACAATTTGAAAAATATACATTCTTCTCTGTTGTAAGCCCCTCCCACAACATGAGCAGACACTTCCAACAAGCAAGGGCTGTCAATCTAATCGTCAATATTCATTAACCCTACTGTCTTCTGTCATGGGCTAGCTTTTCTAAAAAAAATGGAGCCAGGAATAGGTGCAGGAGTCTACTTTCCTCTTAAACCACTTGAATAACAAAAAGGTTACCACAGAATTCTCATCCCTTCACCCCTCCAACACTCTATACATGACGTTTGTGCAGGTCTCCCAAGTCATGCATGTCCACCACTGCTTGCGAATCTCTTTGTCCATGTCTGCACCAAAAGACGTTTCCTAGTTGAGACTGCTGGCATATGGGAACTGGCGTTTTCCTTTATGAGAAAGGTTCCCCTACACACCTCTAGGTCTGGTCCTCACTCCCAACCAGATGCCCCCACTTAAGCCTCCAGGGGTGATAGACTTGATGTCTGAGTGTGTGTGGAGGCTGGTGCAGGTTCCCTATGGAGCAACACCCAGCGCTGGCCCACCACTTAGACCCTTAACTTCAGCACAATGGGCCTGCTTCGCCTTGGCTGACAGATTTTGCAATGAATTTATGTATTTCAAGAGTTTATTTGAACAACATTGATTACAAGTAATGTTGGTCAGTTTCCCTTAAAACTGATTTGACTTGCTTTCTTTATTTAATGTATATCAAGGTGAGATCATCACTTTATTCTGAAGTAACTTTTAGCCTGGACTCCTCGTCCAAGTTGACTGGATGATCAGAGAAAAGCCCAAACCAGAAGACATTCGTTCACCAATATGGCGCTTTATATAAGATGTTTTTGTGTTCATTTATTTGTGTTTTTAACTGAAACTAAAATCCCTAAAAGCAAATATAGTTTTCTTCCTCTAGCTGAAAAATCAAGATCTTTGAATCTGTAAATCCCGTTTTATTGAGCAGTTTGTGTGCAAAAAGATGTGCATCTCTTGCTTATTGGACTGGAATTGCTTCCAAAATATAAGTGATGTCACAAATTGCACATGCATGTAAGTCTTCAAATGAGTTTTAAAGCAAACTACAAATAAAAGCCTCACTGTTCACATATTATTCTGAACGGAAAACGGAGAAAAACACCATAAATTAAAAGACATATTTTTGAATGTCTTCTTCTCCAACTCTGGGCTAGACCGCAAACAAACCTACTTCCCAAATGTCAACCACAGTTTGGACTGTAGCCTATATTTTCTAATGTTTCTCGTGGAAAGTCACTACGTCTGCCACAGATGCATCCATTGACTTTATGTACAGTCTCCTTCCCTACTACCCTCCCCCTCTTATTTTTCACTGGTTTTGAGTAGCGGTTGGGGCTGAAAGAGCAGCTAATGGGCTGCAAAATGTCTCCAAAGCTAGAGCAACAACAGAAGCTAATGTCTCAAAGCCCTTCTGAAACAACACAAACAGTGTAGAGCCCTGACAGTGCAAAGAGAAAGGGGGGGGAAGTGGGGAGGCATCCCTGGTTTCCTCTAATGTGTCAGCGAAGCCATTTTTGTCAGCCTAATTGTAGTGAAGCTTTTCTAGTGGCCTTGGTGAAATGGCGTAATTGCCTGCTGGAATGGCCCGGACTGCACTGTTGGCTGCACACTGTAGGGTTTTCCTTTTGCCGTGTAATGCAAGATCCTGGACGTAGCTCAACGGTGCTCTGACATTTGCTGTTTCAATCTTTTAGCTGCAGAGCACTATGCTTAGTAGGGTAAATTCAAGGCTCAGTGGTATTGACAGGCCAGTGTGAAATATTGCAGTTGGCAATTTTAGCGAGACAAGTTGATTTACCTGCGCGCAACCTGAGAGCCGTTGCTTAGAGGGTGTCGATTCACAGCTTTCCTTATTGGCGCTAATTAGAACATGTGTTTATTTAAAGAGTGCCGTACTTATTAATGTAAGCATTTATGTGTTTAATTGTACAAAAGGAGGCATTCAAGACGCGTGTTGATACCCTTTGCATTGCCATGCCAAGGAAAAGGCTGAGCTGAATGCAATTCTTGATCATTCGCAAGTATTTTCTCTAAAACGTCATGAAGCGTGCAGCCCCTTCTGCTGCTCTTCCCCCTCAGTACCAATTAAAGCTGTTTTTCTGCAGCAGATCTTGAGCTGATGAAGACAGCCACTAAGCGCTCTTGAAGTAAAGTCACACAGGGCCTGTATGGCAGATGGTTTGTGCAAGAGTATGTGCAAAGAGAGAAAGCAGCAAAGAAGGAAACAAACAAGCATAAAAATGGCAGCCTGTCTCCAGTGAGAAGCTCCTATTTTCTACCCAATTTAAGACATACCATTTCCAAATTTTTCAAACTTTTCCTCAAAAATGCTGTCAAACCTGCTGGAGACCAGGGAAAACATAAGATCTTGTTCTGCCGAGAATTTTTGCACGCCATCTTCCAAAAACTATCGAGACAACTCAAGTATTTCACAGTCAGAAAAAGAAGGGAAGAAAAAAAAAAAAGAAACTGCTGGGAGCTGCTTGATCTCGTGGCTTTGACCAGCTCTCCCAGCTGAATGGAAACAAGCTTTGCTCCGGCCTTTTGCTACAAAGGCTGAGACGCAGAGAGTCAAGGCACAGAGGACGATGCCTAATGGCTACAAGTCCGGCTTTCCCCAGTGGATTACATG